CACAAGGCACACTAATAGATCAAAACCACCGACCTTCATATCACACAAACATGATGGACTGAGGTAGTGACAAAACCACAAGGCATACTAATAGGACAAAACCACAAGGCACACTAATAGATCAAAACCACAAGGCACACTAATAGATCAAAACCACAAGGCACACTAATAGATCAAAACCACCGACCTTCATATCACACAAACATGATGGACTGAGGTAGTGACAAAACCACAAGGCATACTAATAGGACAAAACCACAAGGCACACTAATAGATCAAAACCACAAGGCACACTAATAGATCAAAACCACAAGGCACACTAATAGATCAAAACCACCGACCTTCATATCACATAAACATGATGGACTGAGGTAGTGACAAAACCACAAGGCATACTAATAGGACAAAACCACAAGGCACACTAATAGATCAAAACCACAAGGCACACTAATAGATCAAAACCACAAGGCACACTAATAGATCAAAACCACCGACCTTCATATCACACAAACATGATGGACTGAGGTAGTGACAAAACCACAAGGCATACTAATAGGACAAAACCACAAGGCACACTAATAGATCAAAACCACAAGGCACACTAATAGATCAAAACCACAAGGCACACTAATAGATCAAAACCACCGACCTTCATATCACACAAACTTGATGGACTGGGGTAGTGACAAAACCACAAGGCATACTAATAGGACAAAACCACAAGGCACACTAATAGGACAAAACCACAAGGCACACTAATAGATCAAAACCACAAGGCACACTAATAGATCAAAACCACAAGGCACACTAATAGATCAAAACCACCGACCTTCATATCACACAAACATGATGGACTGAGGTAGTGACAAAACCACAAGGCATACTAATAGGACAAAACCACAAGGCACACTAATAGATCAAAACCACAAGGCACACTAATAGATCAAAACCACAAGGCACACTAATAGATCAAAACCACCGACCTTCATATCACACAAACATGATGGACTGAGGTAGTGACAAAACCACAAGGCATACTAATAGGACAAAACCACAAGGCACACTAATAGATCAAAACCACAAGGCACACTAATAGATCAAAACCACAAGGCACACTAATAGATCAAAACCACCGACCTTCATATCACACAAACATGATGGACTGAGGTAGTGACAAAACCACAAGGCATACTAATAGGACAAAACCACAAGGCACACTAATAGATCAAAACCACAAGGCACACTAATAGATCAAAACCACAAGGCACACTAATAGATCAAAACCACCGACCTTCATATCACACAAACATGATGGACTGAGGTAGTGACAAAACCACAAGGCATACTAATAGGACAAAACCACAAGGCACACTAATAGATCAAAACCACAAGGCACACTAATAGATCAAAACCACAAGGCACACTAATAGATCAAAACCACCGACCTTCATATCACACAAACATGATGGACTGAGGTAGTGACAAAACCACAAGGCATACTAATAGGACAAAACCACAAGGCACACTAATAGATCAAAACCACAAGGCACACTAATAGATCAAAACCACAAGGCACACTAATAGATCAAAACCACCGACCTTCATATCACACAAACTTGATGGACTGGGGTAGTGACAAAACCACAAGGCATACTAATAGGACAAAACCACAAGGCACACTAATAGGACAAAACCACAAGGCACACTAATAGATCAAAACCACAAGGCACACTAATAGATCAAAACCACAAGGCACACTAATAGATCAAAACCACAAGGCACACTAATAGATCAAAACCACAAGGCACACTAATAGATCGAAACCACCGACCTTCATATCACATAAACTTGATGGACTGGGGTAGTGACAAAACCACAAGGCATACTAATAGGACAAAACCACAAGGCACACTAATAGGACAAAACCACAAGGCACACTAATAGATCAAAACCACAAGGCACACTAATAGATCAAAACCACAAGGCACACTAATAGATCAAAACCACCGACCTTCATATCACACAAACATGATGGACTGAGGTAGTGACAAAACCACAAGGCATACTAATAGGACAAAACCACAAGGCACACTAATAGATCAAAACCACAAGGCACACTAATAGATCAAAACCACAAGGCACACTAATAGATCAAAACCACCGACCTTCATATCACACAAACATGATGGACTGAGGTAGTGACAAAACCACAAGGCATACTAATAGGACAAAACCACAAGGCACACTAATAGATCAAAACCACAAGGCACACTAATAGATCAAAACCACAAGGCACACTAATAGATCAAAACCACCGACCTTCATATCACACAAACATGATGGACTGAGGTAGTGACAAAACCACAAGGCATACTAATAGGACAAAACCACAAGGCACACTAATAGATCAAAACCACAAGGCACACTAATAGATCAAAACCACAAGGCACACTAATAGATCAAAACCACCGACCTTCATATCACACAAACATGATGGACTGAGGTAGTGACAAAACCACAAGGCATACTAATAGGACAAAACCACAAGGCACACTAATAGATCAAAACCACAAGGCACACTAATAGATCAAAACCACAAGGCACACTAATAGATCAAAACCACCGACCTTCATATCACACAAACATGATGGACTGAGGTAGTGACAAAACCACAAGGCATACTAATAGGACAAAACCACAAGGCACACTAATAGATCAAAACCACAAGGCACACTAATAGATCAAAACCACAAGGCACACTAATAGATCAAAACCACCGACCTTCATATCACACAAACATGATGGACTGAGGTAGTGACAAAACCACAAGGCATACTAATAGGACAAAACCACAAGGCACACTAATAGATCAAAACCACAAGGCACACTAATAGATCAAAACCACAAGGCACACTAATAGATCAAAACCACCGACCTTCATATCACACAAACTTGATGGACTGGGGTAGTGACAAAACCACAAGGCATACTAATAGGACAAAACCACAAGGCACACTAATAGGACAAAACCACAAGGCACACTAATAGATCAAAACCACAAGGCACACTAATAGATCAAAACCACAAGGCACACTAATAGATCAAAACCACCGACCTTCATATCACACAAACATGATGGACTGAGGTAGTGACAAAACCACAAGGCATACTAATAGGACAAAACCACAAGGCACACTAATAGATCAAAACCACAAGGCACACTAATAGATCAAAACCACAAGGCACACTAATAGATCAAAACCACCGACCTTCATATCACACAAACATGATGGACTGAGGTAGTGACAAAACCACAAGGCATACTAATAGGACAAAACCACAAGGCACACTAATAGATCAAAACCACAAGGCACACTAATAGATCAAAACCACAAGGCACACTAATAGATCAAAACCACCGACCTTCATATCACACAAACATGATGGACTGAGGTAGTGACAAAACCACAAGGCATACTAATAGGACAAAACCACAAGGCACACTAATAGATCAAAACCACAAGGCACACTAATAGATCAAAACCACAAGGCACACTAATAGATCAAAACCACCGACCTTCATATCACACAAACATGATGGACTGAGGTAGTGACAAAACCACAAGGCATACTAATAGGACAAAACCACAAGGCACACTAATAGATCAAAACCACAAGGCACACTAATAGATCAAAACCACAAGGCACACTAATAGATCAAAACCACCGACCTTCATATCACACAAACATGATGGACTGAGGTAGTGACAAAACCACAAGGCATACTAATAGGACAAAACCACAAGGCACACTAATAGATCAAAACCACAAGGCACACTAATAGATCAAAACCACAAGGCACACTAATAGATCAAAACCACCGACCTTCATATCACACAAACATGATGGACTGAGGTAGTGACAAAACCACAAGGCATACTAATAGGACAAAACCACAAGGCACACTAATAGATCAAAACCACAAGGCACACTAATAGATCAAAACCACAAGGCACACTAATAGATCAAAACCACCGACCTTCATATCACACAAACTTGATGGACTGGGGTAGTGACAAAACCACAAGGCATACTAATAGGACAAAACCACAAGGCACACTAATAGGACAAAACCACAAGGCACACTAATAGATCAAAACCACAAGGCACACTAATAGATCAAAAACACCGACCTTCATGTCACACAAACATGATGAACTGAGGTAGTGACAAAACCACAAGGCACACTAATAGATCAAAAACACCGACCTTCATGTCACACAAACATGATGAACTGAGGTAGTGACAAAACCACAAGGCACACTAATAGATCAAAACCACAAGGCACACTAATAGATCAAAACCACAAGGCACACTTATCACACAAACATGATGGCAGCCATAAAACTTGAAACCCATTGTGGTCAGTTTATCCGTGAGAAGTCGACATACATGTATATCATGAAAATTAAGATATCAGGACCAAGTTCTTGAATACTGCATCAACTTTGATGTGTTGACACTGTAGGCTGGGAAAGCCGGGATGTCAATAAAGGGAAAGTTTACAATCGTAAAACAAAATCATCGCCTATCGTTCAGCTTAGTAGTTGTGTGATGTTGTAAGTAAAGGTCGAGAAAGTGGCTGAGTAAGAAGAATTATAATGTCCTTGAAGTTCATCAGAATAGGATCAATAAATGTCTTGTTATTTAAAGATAGCACATCATCGACACATATGAAAATGAAATTGATGGACTTGACCACTTTTTTACCAGTAATGATAATCCTAAAAAATATAATTTGAGAGACAACATATAGGAATCCTTGAGTTTACTGAAACTAGCATTTGATATTGCAAAAATAAATGAAATTTTCAAAATCAAAACTTGCATTTAAATCATCCATATTTTAAAATGTGCAGTCTTGACAATAACTTTGTAAGGCCGTTATAGAAGGAATCTCACAGTATTGTCACCACTAATGCAAGTCTGATATTACAGGGATGGACATTGATGGTAAAAACCAGTGGCCGATGCTGAAAGGCAAGCCGTCCCGGCGGAAGGAGTTCGTCTACCACCTTGACTCCAGCAGTGGCTCTGCTGTGGCCGCCATTAGGTACAGGCTCATTCTGCAATCGTACGATTATTGGGATTATGTACGGGGATGTTGATTCTGGTCTAGGGCACATATCATGGACAAAGTACTACAGCTTGGGTCAACTTCGCATGCTTATTCCATTATTAGTAGAACAGTTTGCACGTTTTTTTTGTAATCTTAGCCTTTGACCTTGATCCCCGTGACCTTAATGTTCGCGACCACTAGCAGCTAGGTTCACTTTTTGTAACCTTGACATTTGACCATGAGTTTTGTGACCTTGCTGTACTTGGACATCCGTGTTTTACAGACACATTTCGGAAACCGTTCCATTTCAATGCGTTTTTGTTGATATTCAAGGGAAATTGTACTTTTTCGTTTATCTGCGGCCTTAATGTGTAGTACCATTGTAGATTGTTATATTGAAGATTTAATATATCAGCTACTATTGATTAATTAATGTCTTACCTATCTTGTCATTGTAACGACTGGCTTGTTTTCAGATATGGAGATTACAAACTAATCCAGGGGAGTCCTGGTAAATATAACGACTGGTACCAGATCCCTAAGGGCCCGACCAAGTGCACCAAGTTCAAGGAAATCCAAGATGAAGAAGAGGAGGACTTTTTCAAATATTCCAGTCTGAATCAGGTGGTGAGGAAGGTGAAGACGTACTTTTCCTGGGTGTTCGACAAGATGACGGGGGTCAGCTGGAAACAGTACCGCTTCAAAAAACTACAGAAACATTGTCTTCAGGGGGAGAGAAAAGTAATGAAGAAGTTCATTTTCCCCAAATACCAGATGTTTGATATCAGGAGTAAGTACAGAGGATTTTGTTATATTACACAATGTAAATATATTTATCACAAATTTGTCTCTGTTATTAGCATTTTTGCACAAATGGTGGTGTTGTGTTCTCATATATATCAACGCCCATGCGCAGGCTGATGAACAGTTCTTCCCTTCCAGCCTGAACCAATAACGTGTTATCCGTCAGGACAATACAATTATGAACATTAGTGATTGTGATATAATGTGAACACTTAAAATGATATTGACAGAGAAAAACGGAGGTCAGTATCACTTTTTCATATTCACATCTCTTCATATTTCCCGTCACAAAAGTCCGAAGTTGTTTGATTAAAGTTCTTCCATGTGAAAAAAAGTTAACAAAGTCAAGATATAACCATTTTGATATCATAGCCTATCTGATAGTCCCGCACCGATATCATAGCCTCTCTGATAGTTTCTCACCGAGATCATAGCCTCTCTGATCGTCCCTCACCGATATCATAGCCTCTCTGATAGTCCCTCACCGATACCTTAGCCTCTCTGATAGTTTCTCACCGATATCATAGCCTCTCTGATAGTCCCTCACCGATATCATGGCCTCTCTGATAGTCCCTCACCGATGTCATAGCCTCTCTGATAGTCCCCCACCGATATCATAGCCTCTCTGATAGTCCCTCACCGATATCATGGTCTCTCTGATAGTCCCTCACCGATATCATAGGTTCTCTGATAGTCCCTCACCGATATCATGGTCTCTCTGATAGTCCCTCACCGATATCATGGTCTCTCTGATAATCCCTCACCAATATCATGGTCTCTCTGATAGTCCCTCACCGATATCATGGTCTCTCTGATAGTCCCTCATCGATATCATGGCCTCTCTGATAGTCCCTCACCGATATCATGTCCTCTCTGATAGTCCCTCATCGATATCATGGTCTCTCTGATAGTCCCTCACCAATATCATAGCCTCTCTGATAATCCCTCACCGATATCATGGTCTCTCTGATAGTCCCTCACCGATATCATAGGCTCTCTGATAGTCCCTCATCGATATCATGGTCTCTCTGATAGTCCCTCACCGATATCATAGGTTCTCTGATAGTCCCTCATCGATATCATGGTCTCTCTGATAGTCCCTCACCGATATCATAGGTTCTCTGATAGTCCCTCATCGATATCATGGTCTCTCTGATAGTCCCTCACCGATATCATAGGTTCTCTGATAGTCCCTCATCGATATCATGGTCTCTCTGATAGTCCCTCACCGATATCATAGGTTCTCTGATAGTCCCTCATCGATATCATGGTCTCTCTGATAGTCCCTCACCGATATCATAGGTTCTCTGATAGTCCCTCATCGATATCATGGTCTCTCTGATAGTCCCTCACCGATATCATAGGTTCTCTGATAGTCCCTCATCGATATCATGGTCTCTCTGATAGTCCCTCACCGATATCATAGGTTCTCTGATAGTCCCTCATCGATATCATGGTCTCTCTGATAGTCCCTCACCGATATCATAGGTTCTCTGATAGTCCCTCATCGATATCATGGTCTCTCTGATAGTCCCTCACCGATATCATAGGTTCTCTGATAGTCCCTCATCGATATCATGGTCTCTCTGATAGTCCCTCACCGATATCATAGGTTCTCTGATAGTCCCTCATCGATATCATGGTCTCTCTGATAGTCCCTCACCGATATCATGGCCTCTCTGACAGTCCCTCATCGATATCATGGTCTCTCTGATAGTCCCTCATCGATATCATGGTCTCTCTGATAGTCCCTCACCGATATCATGGCCTCTCTGATAGTCCCTCACCGATATCATGGTCTCTCTGACAGTCCCTCACCGATATCATGGTCTCTGTGATAGTCCCTCACCGATATCAGCCTTTATTTAGTATATATGATATTATATGGGGTTTTATTATCAACTCTGTATTATCCTTTTACCAGGAATAAAATCAAATATTCATTTTATCATCATATTTACAGATGACCCAACAGAAAGGAACAACATTGTCATCGAAAAGATTCCGATATTTCTGAAGATGAAACGTCGACTTGACAATTATATTGCAAAGGAAGTGGAACCTCAAAGCAGGGAAAAGTACCCCCGGTCTAATCCCGCCATATACAGTGGGGCGTGGTCAGCTGGGTGGTGCTGAGGGGCGTGGTCAGCTACAAACGTTTAATCAACAATATCCGGTGTTCTGGATGAACTGAAACAAAGAAGGACAAATCAATTGTATAGTAAATGTGTGTCAAATAAAGAATCTCCCTATTTAAGTGCCGAACGTTCAACAGGATGTGAGCCCTGACCTGTTATATGTTGTATTGGGACTCTGATAATTCGTTGTAAATAAATAAATCTGCGGACGAATATGAAGAGTGCACCTAGCCATGAGTGAATGTATACTTCCATATTATAAAGAAGTGCAATTGACGACGTCATGTAAAAACTTATGAGTGGAATCGCTTTTATTACATGTCAAAAAATGTTCATATTTACACTTTCTCATTTTTGGAAAACAGTAATCAGAGTACCTGGTATGGATGTCCAATACTGCTTCCCGAAAACTTGAAAGCAAAGCGATCAAACGACGTCGAGGACGAAATATGGACTCGCGTTTAAACAAATAGCGTGCAATGTTGTGAAGATATTCAAAACCCAATTCTGTTTCAATTCGTTGATTTGATCAGTGTTTAAAAACGGAAGAGTTCCATCCCGAAGAAGGTCTGGCTACTATAACACCGGTACAACATTCTCGTAATGTCATAGTTGTAATTGTGTCATGTCAGTGATATCTTAATATTTACATTTGCATGGCATTGTCACTACATAGCCTCTTTGTGTCGTTGATGGGACTTAAATTACCATGCATCACGAGACACAACTCTTAGCGTATTAATACAACACTGAACGGAACTACAATATCCAATGTAAATAAACATGACGGCTGCTGAAATATCGCTGGGCATTGTGAGACTTGACAATGTCATTGTAAATTTACGTAATTTTGTAAATACCTTTTAGCGCGCATTATGTTGCTTGCAAAGCTGTGTCATTCAAATAGATCATAAATACCATCCAAAAACAGTACAATGCTGAAATATTTACAATGTCATTAAATGTATTATGGAGGGGTGTGTGTGATATTTTTCGATTGTGATTAACGCTCTTGTTAGTTTTCATTGAAAAATTACCAATCATAAAGTTCCATCAGCGACCTGATTGCGACGTCATACCAAGTTACCCCAATATACCCGGTGCAGTATAGGTTTGTCAAAGTGGAAATTATCTTTATATAGAAAAGATTTTTTTCGCGTTGATATAAATTAGCGCGGAAATGTCCACACGCGATCTATCTATATATATTATATTTCCGCTCTAGAGAGTTTTTACTTTTAGAGTATATGTATGTAAATGTTCTTGATGAACATATGTTATTTTAAACTTGCGATGCATAGTTTTCAAATTTTCACTAGTAAGAAATCCAAAAATCTTTATCCCAATCAGTATATTATTGATCAATCAGTTCTTTAAAAATAGAAATTACCGTGTGTTTATAGTGAATTGTAATTTGTATGAAGTTAGGTTTGTTTTCATTTTCGTCACAAAACAAACAATATAACGAGTTTATATTTTGGTTTACTAATTTGACATGTATGTTAAATACATTGCCATTTCAAAAATGGACCATGAAATTTAGCTCGTTAGCAGGTTATTTTCTTGAAACCGGTGAATGATGAATTTCTTTAATAATGATATATAATTTCCTTGTTAACGGTTATCATTTATTTTGTTGCAAACGAGGGGGAAAAAAATCTTGTAAGCAGGAAGAATGTTTTATTGTACCCCAGGACAGATAATTTTCTTGTAACCGGTGACATCCATTTGTTATTAAAATGTAATTGTAACTGTTTTCCTGGAAACGAAACCGACGATATAGCCAGGCGGAAAGGTGACATCCAAACCCATACAAATGAACACATATCTCCTTATTTACTCCTGGGCAATGATGTCTAGCGTTGTCTTTACTTACCATTTTACTAAGAATTATATGTGTTCGCAGATAATATGAGTTAACCAAAATGTATATATATATATCACGTGACTTTGTTATAAGGTAAGGGGTACCGACAAGTCGAACGGTATTAATACCAATGTAACTATAACAGTGTTTATGTAACCATCAAAATTGCATGTTGCTACGCATTTTTCAGAATTATAGTTGTTCGAAATTTGAAGGATTAGAAAAATAAATAAAAAAAGTGTAAAATAGAAAACTGCATGGGCCGAAGTTTGGACCTTTACATTGCAAAGTTTACTCTTTACCACTGTTGCCATAGAGATTTATGGAAGACCAGCATCAGACTTAGTGACCAGTTAATGAATCACAAACCATACGAAATACTAAGCAGGGGAAGCTACTGTTAGCCGGGGAAATTCCTTTTGATGGCTTCATTTGATTTCAGTGGTAGCCCTTACCTTAACTGTTTATGCCAGTTAAGATTAACGATGCATTCCGATAGCTTTTCGCACAATGGATTATCTTTTGACGATGATTACATGTTGTGATCTAAATAAGATTTAAATATTACCTCTATAACCTGCTTACAACCTGCTGGTTATAATTAATTACTTTTGTTTTCACCGGTGAAATTTATGAATTGTGATAGTCCCTTTTCCGTTATGATAGTACTTTCATTTTATGCCTAGTTCTTATTTGTTTGAGTTTGCTATAACGAAATACAATGTATGTACATTAAACAGTGCCATATTTGTACATTGAATTCTCGTCTTCGTGTATAAAACTTACCTGTGTACGGGTTACATGTACATTGAATTCTCGTCCTCGTGTATAAAACTTACCTGTGTACGGGGTACATGTACATTGAATTCTCGTCTTCGCGTATAAAACTTACCTTTGTACGGGGTACATGTACATTGAATTCTAGTCTTCGTGTATAAAACTTACCTGTGTACGGGGTACATGCCCATTGAATTCTCGTCCTCGTGTATAAAACTTACCTGTGTACGGGGTACATGTACATTGAATTCTCGTCTTCGTGCATAAAACTTACCTGTGTACGGAGTTCATGTACATTGAATTCTCGTCTTCGTGTATAAAACTTACCTGTGTACGAGGTACATGTACATTGAATTCTCGTCTTCGTGTATAAAAATTACCTGTGTACGGGGTACATGATCATTGAATTCTCGTCTTCTCGTATAAAACTGACCTGTGTACGTGGTACATGTACATTGAATTTTCGTCTTCTCGTATAAAACTTACCTGTGTACGGGGTACATGTACATTGAATTCTCGTCTTCTCGTATAAAATTTACCTGTGAACGGGGTATATGTACATTGAATTCCCGTCCTAGTGTATAAAACTTACCTGTGTACGGGGTACATGTACATTGAATTCTCGTCTTCTCATATAAAACTTACCTGTGTACGTGGTACATGTACATTGCATTTTCGTCTTCTCGTATCAAACTTACCTGTGTACGGGGTACAGGTACATTGAATTCTCGTCTTCGTGTAAAAAAAACTTACCTGTGAACGGGGTATATGTACATTGAATTCCCGTCCTCGTGTATAAAACTTACCTGTGTACGGGGTACATGTACATTGAATTATCGTCTTCGTGTATAAAACTTACCTGTGTACGGAGTATATGTACATTGAATTATCGTCTTCTCTTATAAAACTTACCTGTGTACGGAGTATATGTACATTGAATTATCGTCTTCTCGTATAAAACTTAACTGTGTACGAGGTACATGTACAATTCTCGTCTTCATGTATAAAACTTACCTGTGTACGGGGTACATGTACATTGAATTCTCGTCTTCGTGTATAAATCTCACCTGTGTACGGGGTACGTGATCATTGAATTCTCGTCTTCTCGTATAAAACTTACCTGTGTACGGGGTTCATGTACATTGAATTCTCGTCTTCATGTAAAAAAAAACCACGTACCTGTGTACGAGGTACATGTACATTGAATTCTCGTCTTCTCGTATAAAACTTAACTGTGTACGAGGTACATGTACATTGAATTCTCGTCTTCATGTATAAAACTTACCTGTGTACGGGGTACATGTACATTGAATTCTCGTCTTCATGTAAAAAAAAACCACGTACCTGTGTACGAGGTACATGTACATTGAATTCTCGTCTTCATGTATAAAACTCACCTGTGTACGGGGTACATGTACATTGAATTCTCGTCTTCTCGTATAAAACTTAACTGTGAACGGGGTTCATGTACATTGAATTCTCGTCTTCATTTAAAAAAAAACACGTACCTGTGTACGGGGTACATGATCATTGAATTCTCGTCTTCGTGTATAAAACTTACCTGTGTACGGGGTACATGATCATTGAATTCTCGTCTTCGTGAATAAAACTTACCTGTGAACGGGGTACATGTACATTAAACTCTCGTCTTCGTGTATAAAACTTACCTGTGTACGAGGTATATGTACATTGAATTCCCGTCCTCGTGTATAAAACTTACCTGTGTACGGGGTACATGTACACTTAACTCTCGTCCTCGTGTATAAAACTTACCTGTGTACGGGGTACATGATCATTGAATTCTCGTCTTCGTGTATAAAACTTAACTGTGTACGAGGTACATGTACATTGAATTCTCGTCTTCATGTATAAAACTCACCTGTGTACGGGGTACATGTACATTGAATTCTCGTCTTCGTGTAAAAAAAAAAACACGTACCTGTGTACGGGGTACATGTACATTGAATTCTCGTCTTCATGTATAAAACTTACCTGTGTACGGGGTACATGTACATTGAATTCTCGTCTTCATGTATAAAACTCACCTGTGTACGGGGTACATGTACATTGAATTCTCGTCTTCGTGTATAAAACTCACCTGTGTACGGGGTACATGATCATTGAATTCTCGTCTTCTCGTATAAAACTTACCTGTGAACGGGGTTCATGTACATTGAATTCTCGTCTTCATGTAAAAAAAAACACGTACCTGTGTACGGGGTACATGTACATTGAATTCTCGTCTTCTCGTATAAAACTTACCTGTTTACAGAGTACATGTTGATGTATCTTTCTTGATAACTTAATGAAATTAAAAACGCCAAGACAAACGACTTATTTCCATTTTTAACGTATATTTATCTTGTGAGCTTTTTTTTATTTCGTATTTTTGTTTCCTCGGATCCTTCGGCTTTACGTAATTTATGTAAACATAATTTATTGCAAAACTTTGGAATTTCATATTTCTTAGCAAACTTCCATACTCTTTGTTTTTGGCATGTCTCCTAGGTACCCACCTTCATGTGACCTTAGCTGCTACGAGAACATTAAACCCCATACAAACAAACTTATAGTTCGCGGGCCAAAGTAAACATGTTAACCGTTTTATTATAAAGAAACGCATTGCGTAATATATGAAAATATGATGAAAAGCTATCGACCCGAGCAAATAGGTGACTACATGTTGTCACTGCCGTGATGATATAATATGACAGTGAGTGATTCAGATTGTCCGAGGCAGTGAAAGGTCCTAAAACACTGCTGACGGATGGTTACTAATGTGTTAGGTTGTTACGTATTGTAAACTAGTATGTACTTTGTTAGCGGTGTGAACTATCGTAATAAACTTGTTAATCGAGACGTGATTATTGTTGGTTTTTTTTTTTTTTTATCAATATATGAAATATTATTTTAAAAGGATCACAAGAAAATGTCAAAGGGTAAAAGAAAACGTAATTAAAAGTAGGGTAGTTTTTGGGGTCTTGGTACTCCACATTACTCCACATTACTCATCATTACTCCACAGTACTCCACATTACTCCTCATTACTCCACAGTACT